TGAAAGTTTGTCCCCGGGCGCCGGGAAGGGTCGCTACGCTTCTGCTTTGTCTTTTGATTTGTTGTTGTGTGTTTTATGTGTGTGTGCGCGCATTGTGAGGAACTATTAATAAAGTGGGAGTGAGCTCCCCTGAATTTTCGTGTATATTCATATAGGCTACAACTGTAAGAGTTGGAGAGGCATTTCTGGTGGAATAGGGCTATAGAAACGGAATGTAAATTTGTGACAAAAGCACTCGTTTTTCGAAAAAAACTAAAGAGGCAAACAGTTCTTAGAATATGCAGCATTATAAGAGCATGTTATAAAGTTATCTAGCTGAAGGTTTTTGAAGAAATGGAAATAGAGTACTTCTTCCGGTTAACGGAAATCGATACAAATTTGATCTAAGACTTATTCATGAAATGTTGTTCATTGAACTGAAAGGTATGACTGACACACAGGAAGACAGCAAGTCAGACATACAAAAGACAGACACACAGGAAGGTAGACACACAGACAGACAGAAGGACAGACACACAAGAAGACAGACATACAGGAAAACAGACAGACAGAAGGACACACACAGGAAGACAGACCCACATACAGAAGATAGCAAACCTGGGTTTCTCCTACTCAGGAAGGTGTAAAACATCGATATTCGTTGAAAGATTACTAAATAAATAACAGAAAGGGAGATAAGAGGATTAAACCAGTTATTTTTTATGGAAGTTTTCACGCCTAAAGGCCGACCACGGCCGTTTATATAATTGGCAGATAATTGTCGTTTAGATTACTAGCCACTAGGTTTAAAAGTAAGTAAAGTTTCCCTTTCAAACCTGGGGCAAGTGAAGTAGAATTCACTTGTTTCTGTGACATCGGCATATGAAGAGATAGTGTGGTCAGCACTATGCCCAGCCGCCTTCACTTTCCTTAACGTGAGTTGGGTGGACTCAGGGACGATCTATTGACTTGAACCCGGATTCGAACTCGTGACTTACGGGTTAGCAGTCCAGCTCTCTACCGCTAAACTACTCCGTCCCTTTAATAGTCTTATCAGTGTTTAATTTGATTTTAATAATTTGTTTTGTATTCCTCCAATTTACTATTTCCATTCCTTCATGCCAAGTCGTAAAATTTACTTAGATGGGAGGAAAAAAATGCACGATGAAAATTTCAAAATTTCAATCTGGGGTTGGTGGTCCCTTTTAAAATATCCCGGACCTCTTGCACACAGCCAGTCCACCCCTGTCTATATCCAAAATACAGCGGTTCCCCAAAACAACTGTCACATCGATAAGATCTCACACGTTTTAAAACGTGAGGATCTTGACAGGGAAGCGATATTACGCCTTTTTTTAATGTCTTTCATTACTTCATGGTACCAAATGATATGTCGTCTGTGGAATAGAGACCATGTGACCCCCCCCCTCCACCTGATGTGTCGTTAACTTTTGATTGGCATCATGTGATCCCTTGATGTGTTGTAAATGGTGTGTAGAAATCTTTAGATTCAGCGTGACAATTAATGACAGTTGATGACTTTACATGAAATATCGTGACAACATTTGACATCTTGCGACTCCGTATAGGGCTGGTAAGTAGGTCGCCAACCAGTTCTACGGCTCAAAAAACCTGCATGAGCCATAGAACTAGTTGGTGACCTACTTACCAGCCCTATAACAATGACATAGTGTGACTCTATGCCACTGTGCGACTCTATATGACACCGCATGACACTGTGCGACTCCATATGACACCGTATGACATCTTGTGACTCCGTATGACCCCTTATGATAGGCCTATGCGGAGTAGGACGGTCTAAATGAACACAATTTCTCGACAATTTCCATGATGAAAACTGTTAGGAGCCTTACATTAAAACACTACCAATTTGCACTATACATTATTACATTACGTGGGATGTGAGGGGAGACTACTCTCGTTACACATAATTTCTTTATCAGATACAACAACTGTTTTATCTCACTGATACTAGTTTTACAAGGCAATCACGTGCGTCAGGTGACCGTATGTGCTATCTCTAAAGGTATTCCGATGATTTTTTTCCGAATAGATCGATACATGAATCTACTTCAGGATCAAAGAATTGGTTTGGTAAGTGTATCCATGGTGATAGATCAACAACAGTGGCCGAGTGGTCGAGAGAGAACATTAGAAAATCGAAGAGTTCGAATCTTGGACTTTGGTTAAAGTGTAGTTACCTCCTTGAACCTAGACACGTGTTGTGTGTGTTTGTGTATGAGAGTATGTGTGTGTGAGTGTGTTTGGGTGGGAGGGGAGCGTATGACTAATCAGAGCCGGTCTTACATATAAGCTAAACAAGATATAGCTTTGCTTGTTCCCCCCCCCCCCCTCCTCCCCAAAAAAAAACTTGTTTGCTGGAGCATTTTTTTGGCAGCAAATTTATTTTTAAATTTTTTTTATTATTTTCTTTTTTTTTTCATACCCTTGGTATAACTACAACTGCAGTTAATTACACACTTTTTTTAATAAAATCGGCAAACTATGTTTCTTTAAACTGCTAATACTTGGCACTGGCATATAATATGTGGACTTATGAGGGGCCTTTTATCGAAAATGATTGAGGGCTTTTAAAGTCTGAATCCGGTCCTGGTACTAATCCTCCCAATCAGCAGTATATAATATATATATATATATATATATATATATATATATATATATATATATATATATATATATATATATATATATATATATATATATATATATATAGTGATTTTGTTTTTGCATGTCAATATGTATAGCGGGTAGCTATGTTGGACACAAGGACAGAATGGTGAAAATATCTTATGGGATCGATTTCCGAATATTCGTATGTCTTCGAGGTCAAGTCAATACGAACTGTTAGCTTGTAGTGTAGTTGTATGGCTACAGGACATTACCCCCCTGGATATTTCCCCCCGGACATTCCCCCCCCCCCGTATTCCCCCCCCCCCGTATTCCCCCCCCCCGTATTCCCCCCCCCCCCCGGAGCAATTACCCCCCTGTCAATTACCCCCTGTCAATTACCCCCCCCCCCGGGGAATTACCCCCCCCCCTCTCAAGTTAAAATCCTAACTCTAACTAGAATTTTATACCTATCTACTACTTTAATCCAAACCTTAAGAAAAAGACCAAAACCTAAGCATCCAACTTAGCCTAAAACTTCACACAAAACCAAAACCAAAGCTAGACACAACCCTAACCCTAAAACTAGCTCTAACCCTAACCCTAGCCCTAACCCTAATCTTAACCCTAACCCTAACCATAGCCCTAAAACCTAACCCTAACCCTAACCCTAACCCTAGCCCTAACCCTAAACCTAAACCTAAACCTAAACCTAAACCTAAACCTAAACCTAAACCTAAACCTAAACCTAAACCTAAACCTAAACCTAAACCTAAACCTAAACCTAAACCTAAACCTAAACCTAAACCTAAACCTAAACCTAAACCTAAACCTAAACCTAAACCTAAACCTAAACCTAAACCTAAACCTAAAC